CACGGCTGACAGTAAGCCCGTGTTATGTATAGGGGTGTATATGTCTGATTTGTTGTGGTGTTTGTTACCAGGAGGAAGTACGGAGGTGACGACTGGCACGGCTGGCATACATACTCCCTAGACTGGACAGCTGACCATATCATGTAAGTAGAATGTTAAAATAGAATATCTCGAACTATTAAAAAGCATTTTATATACGAAATACACACATCCTTAATATCAGTAATAAGTCTTAATTCAAAAATAGGCCCGTGTAACGTTGAAAATGGACCCCCCTTGACAATGGAAACGGAGCCTTACCCTGCCCGAAGTACCAAACTTATCTCATGTCGTACATGCACCTTTGCGTCTGTCGTCCAACCAAATCAGGCCAGTGTGACCTACTTATTAATGTTTGAAATACATTAATAGAACTTATCAGAAATATGCGCATAATTCTGTTTACCTGAATTAGGGAAACTTGACCTAACTTTGAAAATTAGCCTACATTATTAAAATATTGTCATTGGGTTTAGAAATGAACTTAGTAGAACTGTTGTATCACCTAATTAGGTTACTGTGACCTAATTTTCACAATTTGGCATACATTATCAAAACTGGTAAGGGATCAGATATTAATATCAAACAAATGTTTGACAAATATGGTCACTGTGACCCAATCTTAAAAAATTGACCTACATTTTTTACAAATTATTATCAAAAGGTACTATAATGTTGAACGTTGAACATGGACCTGGAACCATTTTCTACTGTTGAATATATAAAGAAGACAAAATATTCTGGGATCTATTTTCCTAATTGAATATTGATCTGGGACCATTTTTATTTTTGACAATGGAATATGGAATGGGTGCCCAGGCGCGCAGGCGAAAACATCAAATTTCAAACAGAAAAAAATGCTCGTTGAACCCCATTGCTCTACAAAGTCACTGCTCTGGATCCACTCCTATATGAACCCACTCCGAACAAGGACTATAGATACACCCCTGGTGTAATAATGTTCTTGGGTCCATCTTTACAGTTTAATATAATCCCGGGACCGTATTTCATCCATTAAATGCATGTTTCATTGAGGGACTGACTAAGATGTTGACAACATTATCAATCGAACAGATGCGAGAAAAGAAGAGAAATAAATGGAAAAGATCAAATTTAGATAGAATTAATCAAAACCTGACGATGGTGGGGGCAAAGATGTCACTTTGGTCTCTTGTTTGACATTTCAATATGATAAAATGACCTTATGTTCTAGGGGCCATATATTCAACGTTGAATATCGACCCACGACCATTTTCGACGATTGAATATATAAAAAACGACGTAATGTTTCTGGTATCTGTTTTCAACTTTTAATATGGACCTTTGTCACTTTTTGCCAATTAAATATTGAAAGTTTTATAATTTTCTGGGGTCAATTTTCAACATGGAATACGGATCCGAGGCCATATTAGCACATTCAATGAAGATTTTGAAAACGTTTTGGAGTTAGTTTTAATGTTCAGTATGGACAATGGTCATTTTAACGAGAATGATATTTAAAATAATTGACTGTGTGTTTTGTAACCCATTTACTATTTTAGAAAATTACATACATGTTGTATACAAGTGTATGTAGTTTACATGTTGTATACAAGTGTATGTAGTTTAAATTTTGAAACATTTGTCACAGGAACGTAATTTGGTTAAGCATCATTTCTTCATTGATGCTAATTTCTGAACGTACGTCTAATTTAAGAAAAAAAAGGTTTCAGTTTAGTTTCTGAATCCTGTAACAATTTATACAGTTTATGTCAAACTAGGAAAAAATGGTTTTCATAGGCCTGGCTTGAACAAATATATATAAATATCTGAACCCTGTGACAATGTTTTTAAATATATTTAACTTTTTTAAACTAGATCACAGTGACACTAATTTTGTCAAACAAGTGATGATATTCATTTCTGACCCCCATGAATATTTTGATAATGTAGGTCAAACTTTGAAAATTTGGTCATAGTGACCTATTTTTTCTGATGTCTGATAAATGTTAACTTCTAATCCCTATGTCTAGGTCAAATATTCAAAACAAGGTCACGGTGACCCAATTTGGTCAAAGAACAGTTACTACTACTCTTAAACCTGACAACAACTTTTGATAATGAGGATCAAATTTTCAAAAGTAGGCCACAGTGACCGTTTTAGGTCAAACATCCATACTGGGTTAATTTCTTAAATCAATGATTTTTTAGGTGATCTAAGTGGATATTTTAAATCAATGCATCAATTTTTCATATGATTCACTTTTCAACGGGGTCCTTTTTCAACTGGTACGTAAACATAACTTTGCATAATAGGCTCCTTTTTTACACCGGCCTTGAAAATAGTCATTGTATTAAAGGTAGGAATTTCGCTCTAAATTTTCGTTTCGTAAGGTCGAACCATTGGTTTAGTATAATTGGTATGTTTGGTATATAATTGGCAGTTTGGTATATAGTTGGTATGTTTGGTATATAATTGGCAGTTTGGTGTATATATAGGTTTGGTATATAATTGGCAGTTTGGTATATATAGGTTTGGTATATAGTTGGTATGTTTGGTATATATAGGTTTGGTATATAGTTGGTATGTTTGGTATATATAGGTTTGGTATATAGTTGGTATGTTTGGTATAAAGTTGGTATGTTTGGTATATAGTTGGTATGTTTGGTATATATAGGTTTGGTATATAGTTGGTATGTTTGGTATCTATAGGTTTGGTATATAGTTGGTATTTTTGGTATATATAGGTTTGGTATATACTTGGTATGTTTGGTATAAAGTTGGTATGTTCGGTATATAGTTGGTATGTTTGGTATCTATAGGTTTGGTATATAGTTGGTATGTTTGGTATATATAGGTTTGGGGATTCCCATCACGTTTTACTGTATGGTGTTCCCGTTCGACGAAAACTGTCACAGGACAAAACACAAGCGATTGTGCATTTTTGAAAACGGACACAAACAAAGCGAAATGTCACGATTACTTGACGTTTCTAAAAGAACAGTGTGCATGGTGTTGCTGCGTTACACGGAAAAGGGAAATGTGGAAATTCTGCCTCGAAATGTTCGGCTGCAATTGACCATGCAATGATCGTAATCAGAATGTTTAGGCGCGGGTCATTTATAATGAGGCACGGATCCTTTTCCTATACCTGTAGGCACCCTGCCTGTCAATGTCCCGCGGGGCCTCAGCGCCTTAGTGTGATGTTGATTGGATGCCAAACCTTTAAAGTTGAAGGGACCCTTTCCCAGGAAGCAAGTGTGTGCCATACAAGCTGCAAAACAATATCCATTTACCAGATCTGAAAATTATTGAAATAAATTGACAAAGGTAAAACTACTATATCAATGGCGTCCAGTCTTTGTTAGACGAAATTAGGGTCGTATAGGAATCACTCACTGTAAATTATATAAGGAACTTTTACCAATCAATTCCTCGTAAAATAATGGATTTGTATCGCAGCATGAGTAATATAACTAAATATTAGAGGTAATTGTTGCTTATATATACACTGAACAATGCGACAAAACGACAACACAAGCTTTAACTTATGGCCCGACATTGTAAGTTGCTTGAATGTCAAGTAGGACGACATCTTGTTTTCAGTCGTTGCTGACCGTAAACATACCGATGGGCACAACACTATGAACGCTGCAAGTTTTGTAAGAAAACTTGTTAACAATGCTTTGCCAACATTGTAAGGCAGTGCTGTTCAAAAATCGTTTAAACTCAAACCGCTCAATACATTTCAGACTGAATGTTGGGTTGTTTGAACTTCAATCAAACAAGATACAATTTTGCAAAATTCGTTTTTTTTCATAGCAATTTCATATAAACCTGAACACGCTACATAATTTTCCTAAACAATAAGGCTACCGGAATGTATTCTTTTGAAAAAACATTTTATTACAAGCTCATTAAATCTCAATATTACTAAATAAATGACAAGTTGATTACGTTTCATCATTACAGTACATATGTGGACAATGTTGAGATGATGAGAATCAACACGCCTAGCCAGAGTTTCTGGGGATGGGGAGGATTCGACGGAAACAACATATGGGCTTCCGGCGGCAAGAACGCTCCCTTCGACAAGCCGGTATGTACTGAAACGTTCATCAAACATTGTTATTGCAATTTTAAGTCGAATAAATGTCCCTGTGTGCTATCTTATGTCGAATCATTGTCCTTGTGTGCTAACCTATATCGAAGCATTGAGCCTCTGTGCTATCTTATGTCGAATCATTGTCCTTGTGTGCTGTTTTATGTCGAAACATTGTCCCTGTGTGCTTCCGTTAGTCGAAGCATTATCAATGTGTGCTCTCTTTAATCGAAGCATTGTCCCTGTGTGCTCTCTTCAGTCGAAGCATTGTCCATCTGTGCTATCTTATGTCGAAGCATTGTCCCTGTGTGCTCTCTTTAGTCGAAGCATTGTCCCTGTGTGCTCTCTTCAGTCGAAGCATTGTCCCTGTGTGCTATCTTATGTCGAAGCAGTGTCCCTGTGTGCTGTTTTATGTCGAAACATTGTCCCTGTGTGCTCCCGTTAGTCGAAGCATTATCCCTGTGTGCTCTCTTTAGTCGAAGCATTGTCCCTGTGTGCTATCTTATGTTGAATCACTGTCCTTGTGTGCTATCTTATGTCGAAGCATTGTCCCTGTGTGCTATCTTATGTCGAAGCTTTGTCCCTGTGTGAGCTCTTTTGTCGAAGCATTGTCCCTGTGTGCTCTCTTTAGTCGAAGCATTGTCCCTGTGTGCTATCTTATGTCGAAGCATTGTCCCTGTGTGCTATCTTTAGTCGAAGCGCTGTCCCTGTGTGCTATCTTTAGTCGAAGCACTGTCCCTGTGTGCTATCTTATGTCGAAGCATTGTCACTGTGTGCTCTCTTTAGTCGAAGCATTGTCCCTGTGTGCTATCTTATGTTGAATCACTGTCCTTGTGTGCTATCTTATGTCGAAGCATTGTCCCTGTGTGATCTCTTCAGTCAAGAGTTGTCCCTGTGTGCTATCTTATGTCGAAGCTTTGTCCCTGTGTGCTCTCTTTAGTCGAAACATTGTCCATGTGTGCTATCTTATGTCGAAGCTTTGTCCCTGTGTGCTATCTGAAGTCAAAGCATTGTCCCTGTGTGCTATCTTATGTCGAAGCTTTGTCCCTGTGTGCTATCTTATGTCGAAGCATTGTCCATGTGTTCTCTCTTTAGTCGAAGCATTTCCATGTGTGCTGCCTGAAGTGAGCGTTCTTTAGTCGAAGCACTGTCCCTGCGTGCTATCTTATGTCGAAGCATTGTCCATGTGTGCTATCTTATGTCGAAGCATTGTCCCTGTGCGCTATCTTATGTCGAAGCATTGTCCCTGTGTGCTATATTATGTCGAAGCTTTGTCCATGTGTGCTATCTTTAGTCGAAGCACTGTCCCTGCGTGCTCTCTTATGTCGAAGCTTTGTCCCTGTGTGCTATCTTATGTCGAAGCATTGTCCCTGTGTTCTCTCTTTAGTCGAAGCATTTCCATGTGTGCTGCCTGAAGTGAGCGTTCTTTAGTCGAAGCATTATGATGATACATGTAGGAATAAGAGCAAATGGGTGGAATTAGCCAATCCTACAAAACTGGGCATTAACGATTTGAATATTATTTTAAAGATACTTTTTGACATATACAAACTCAATAAACAGATCTACAAATGTTATTCCGGGAAAATCCATTTCCAAATGGGCAAATCCATTCTCAAGTTTTTTTCAAGATGTTTTCAACTTTTAGAGTATTCTTATACTGACAACCGATGATAGTGAAATTATCATTAGCATTTACGGTACCCTTATGAAACACGAGTGAACGTTCATTTGCATGTTACGGTAACAACATTATACACGTATTGCCCTGGTGTGAGGGAGACCTGAAGAGTTGTTTCCCGGAGATCCAAGGGAAACATAATTTGTCGAGGGGGAACAACTCTTCAGGTCTCCCTCACACCGGGGCAATAACTGTTTTATTATTCCGAAATTCCATCTGTGGAGTCTGTGTTATATACACATAGCAAAAATACATCAACATTAGGCAATGTAACGAGCTCCTGTGTTTTCATTGTTGTGACTGACCTGTTCGCCCTTATTTCATTAGGTCTGGTAGCATATATATATACTACAAATACAACAAATATTACCTATCACTGTCAGTGTTTTGATTTTACATTAAATTAAACAACAATAATAGCCCTTCAAGTTCTTCAGCTGTTGGGAGGTGGAATCTCCCATTCGCACCCAATGTTGATTTTTGGGTGTCGTCCGGAACACATCGGGCCTTAGAGAGTATAACAAAGAACAAATAGAGACAACTCGTCCGATAATGTGAGAGGGGTTCCGAAAGGGATACTCGACAGGGAAAATGGATCGCGTGAGGGATACATGATGTTTTGTAGCCCTGTCATGTGATGTGTCTAAACCAATCAGACACGCTGTAAAATCGATGAGGATAATAATATGTTTGGTAAGTCCAGACCCGTTTCTCCTTGGGCTTGGTCGTTGGTTGTCGCGACCTATTCGCCAACCACAGAACTTGTTATAAAACAAACACAACCTATGATTACTAAAATCTTTACTCTGACATGTCGATTGACCGTCAATAAGACATTACAATTATGATTATATTTTCAGTTCCACCTGATCCTCAACGTGGCCGTTGGGGGGGATTACTTCGGAAATGGCGAGTATGATGTACCAAAGCCTTGGGGGAATCATAATCCAATGAGATCCTTCTGGGAGGCCAGACACTCCTGGGAACACACCTGGCAAGGAGATGAGGTTGCTTTGGTAATAGATTACATTGAGATGATTCCTCACTAATTTAATCAAATTCATGATGGCTGTCAGTGAACATGAAATAAAATGCATGTTGTATATATTAAATTGTGTGTTGATTTATAACTCGCCGATCTACGAAACGATAGCGGGCCTAATATGAAGGTTACATTGAAAAACAGAAGTAAGATATATTGGTCTGTATTTGAGGTTCATTAGTTTTAATAGAAGTGGTGCGATTCCTCGTAAAAACGAAGTAATTCTGTATAAACAGGCCCACATTGGATTGGTAGAACGTTCTAAACACACGTTTAGGTAGTACATTTGTGGGATCGCACCACGTAACACGATGTGTGCACGATGTGTGAACGATAAAAATCTGGACGAGTATTGCTTGCGCACATTTGTGCGGACGATGGGCTAACGCTGTGCGATGACAATCGTGGTTGGTATAGATTGAGGAATGGCTACACGGTATACACTTGATTTATGACTTGTGTTTCTATTATCTAGCTACATACATAGAAATGGTGTTTCTGTGTTTTCCAAATCGACACATAGACAATTATAACACATATATAGCCACTTTGAACATGTGCCTAGACCGTAGTTTTACCCATCCGGGGCACTTATGTAACTCGTCTAGGTGTGAAAATCCAGGTAAAGGGGATATATAGATCAAAACAAATACAAATATTTTCATAACTGTCATACGGTGTCATATATCGGCTCTCTATTTCATCACCCAAATAGACCAAATTACCTGGAATTAGTAAAGTCTTCGAGCAGGAGAACATTGATAATTTTTTAAAGCGAATTTATTTAATCATTAGTAACGTCCGCCCTGATGTCATCAAAATGTTATTTACATATTCCGTTACCTGGGAGCCAGCCCCTATTTTTGACTGTCTAACGGTCATTATCGCACCTCGGACAAAAATGTCCAAAAACCATTGGTTTAGAGCTGTCACGTGGTAACCCTCTCCTTTTCTATAGCTATAGAGGGTCAGTAGGATTCCAGTATACAGAAATTGTAGGGCAATATGGCCGCCAATTGCTCACCGCTTCAAAACTAAAACAACAGATACGGGTACCTGAATATTCTAAAAATGATACAATGCTCACCGTAATTCCTATTCGCGACATTGTATCGTAAGATGATAGGAGTTGCATCCCCTACGCCAGGCAAAAATAGTAAGACGTTGTCGCCAGCGACCGTCTTTTATCTAAGCGTTTCGGCGACATTGACAGACAATAACAATGGAGAGATTTGGGCAGACGACCACTGAGGAAATAAACAATTATATAATTTATTTTATTTTCATTTATCAAAGTTGATTAAATTTGTTAAATATTCATATTGTTTTGTCATGCATTACATCATTTTCATTTTAAGCAAAAAGGGTCCTCGATGATCCGCCCTCGCCCCCTATAAATCTTACTAACCCTCTATGGTTCTGTAGAGGGTCAGTAACTGACTATATAACTAATACTGTAACACGCAATGTAATATTGAACATAATATGAGAGGCGCCTAATGTGGTCCCCATGTCGAATCGAGGTTTACATCTGTCCTCTGTGTATGGGACATTGGAGAAACCCAAACCGATCTGCTGGCCCTAGTACTACACTAGGAATGTCTGTTCTCTAACCTACTCTGGCCCTAGTACAACACTAGGAATGTCTGTTCTCTAACCTACTCTGGCCCTAGTACACCACTAGGAATGTCTGTTCTCTAACCTACTCTGGCCCTAGTACAACACTAGGAATGTATGTTCTCTAACCTACTCTGGCCCTAATACATCACTAGGAATGTCTGTTCTCTAACCTAGTCTGGCCCTAGTACAACACTAGGAATGTATGTTCTCTAACCTACTCTGGCCCTAATACATCACTAGGAATGTCTGTTCTCTAACCTAGTCTGGCCCTAATACAACACTAGGAATGACTGTTCTCTAACCTAGTCTGGCCCTAATACAACACTAGGAATGTCTGTTCTCTAACCTACTCTGTCCCTAATACAACACTAGGAATGTCTGTTCTCGAACCTACTCTGGCCCTAATACAACACTAGAATACTGTAACACGCAATGTAATATTGAACATAATATGAGAGGCGCCTAATGTGGTCCCCATGTCAAATCGAGGTTTACATCTGTCCTCTGTGTATGGGACATTGGAGAAACCCAAACCGATCTGCTGGCCCTAGTACTACACTAGGAATGTCTGTTCTCTAACCTACTCTGGCCCTAATACATCACTAGGAATGTCTGTTCTCTAACCTACTCTGTCCCTAATACAACACTAGGAATGTCTGTTTTCTAACCTACTCTGGCCCTATTACACCACTAGGAATGTCTGTTCTCTAACCTACTCTGGCCCTAATACAACACTAGGAATGTCTGTTCTCTAACCTACTCTGGCCCTAATACAACACTAGGAATGTCTGTTCTCTAACCTACTCTGGCCCTAATACAACACTAGGAATGTCTGTTCTCTAACCTACTCTGGCCCTAATACAACACTAGGAATGTCTGTTCTCTAACCTACTCTGGCCCTAATACAACACTAGGAATGTCTGTTCTCTAACCTACTCTGGCCCTAATACAACACTAGGAATGTCTGTTCTCTAACCTACTCTGGCCCTAATACAACACTAGGAATGTCTGTTCTCTAACCTACTCTGGCCCTAATACAACACTAGGAATGTCTGTTCTCTAACCTACTCTGGCCCTAATACAACACTAGGAATGTCTGTTCTCTAACCTACTCTGGCCCTAATACAACACTAGGAATGTCTGTTCTCTAACCTACTCTGGCCCTAATACAACACTAGGAATGTCTGTTCTCTAACCTACTCTGGCCCTAATACAACACTAGGAATGTCTGTTCTCTAACCTACTCTGGCCCTAATACAACACTAGGAATGTCTGTTCTCTAACCTACTCTGGCCCTAATACAACACTAGGAATGTCTGTTCTCTAACCTACTCTGGCCCTAATACAACACTAGGAATGTCTGTTCTCTAACCTACTCTGGCCCTAATACAACACTAGGAATGTCTGTTCTCTAACCTACTCTGGCCCTAATACAACACTAGGAATGTCTGTTCTCTAACCTACTCTGGCCCTAATACAACACTAGGAATGTCTGTTCTCTAACCTACTCTGGCCCTAATACAACACTAGGAATGTCTGTTCTCTAACCTACTCTGGCCCTAATACAACACTAGGAATGTCTGTTCTCTAACCTACTCTGGCCCTAATACAACACTAGGAATGTCTGTTCTCTAACCTACTCTGGCCCTAATACAACACTAGGAATGTCTGTTCTCTAACCTACTCTGGCCCTAATACAACACTAGGAATGTCTGTTCTCTAACCTACTCTGGCCCTAATACAACACTAGGAATGTCTGTTCTCTAACCTACTCTGGCCCTAATACAACACTAGGAATGTCTGTTCTCTAACCTACTCTGGCCCTAATACAACACTAGGAATGTCTGTTCTCTAACCTACTCTGGCCCTAATACAACACTAGGAATGTCTGTTCTCTAACCTACTCTGGCCCTAATACAACACTAGGAATGTCTGTTCTCTAACCTACTCTGGCCCTAATACAACACTAGGAATGTCTGTTCTCTAACCTACTCTGGCCCTAATACAACACTAGGAATGTCTGTTCTCTAACCTACTCTGGCCCTAATACAACACTAGGAATGTCTGTTCTCTAACCTACTCTGGCCCTAATACAACACTAGGAATGTCTGTTCTCTAACCTACTCTGGCCCTAATACAACACTAGGAATGTCTGTTCTCTAACCTACTCTGGCCCTAATACAACACTAGGAATGTCTGTTCTCTAACCTACTCTGGCCCTAATACAACACTAGGAATGTCTGTTCTCTAACCTACTCTGGCCCTAATACAACACTAGGAATGTCTGTTCTCTAACCTACTCTGGCCCTAATACAACACTAGGAATGTCTGTTCTCTAACCTACTCTGGCCCTAATACAACACTAGGAATGTCTGTTCTCTAACCTACTCTGGCCCTAATACAACACTAGGAATGTCTGTTCTCTAACCTACTCTGGCCCTAATACAACACTAGGAATGTCTGTTCTCTAACCTACTCTGGCCCTAATACAACACTAGGAATGTCTGTTCTCTAACCTACTCTGGCCCTAATACAACACTAGGAATGTCTGTTCTCTAACCTACTCTGGCCCTAATACAACACTAGGAATGTCTGTTCTCTAACCTACTCTGGCCCTAATACAACACTAGGAATGTCTGTTCTCTAACCTACTCTGGCCCTAATACAACACTAGGAATGTCTGTTCTCTAACCTACTCTGGCCCTAATACAACACTAGGAATGTCTGTTCTCTAACCTACTCTGGCCCTAATACAACACTAGGAATGTCTGTTCTCTAACCTACTCTGGCCCTAATACAACACTAGGAATGTCTGTTCTCTAACCTACTCTGGCCCTAATACAACACTAGGAATGTCTGTTCTCTAACCTACTCTGGCCCTAATACAACACTAGGAATGTCTGTTCTCTAACCTACTCTGGCCCTAATACAACACTAGGAATGTCTGTTCTCTAACCTACTCTGGCCCTAATACAACACTAGGAATGTCTGTTCTCTAACCTACTCTGGCCCTAATACAACACTAGGAATGTCTGTTCTCTAACCTACTCTGGCCCTAATACAACACTAGGAATGTCTGTTCTCTAACCTACTCTGGCCCTAATACAACACTAGGAATGTCTGTTCTCTAACCTACTCTGGCCCTAATACAACACTAGGAATGTCTGTTCTCTAACCTACTCTGGCCCTAATACAACACTAGGAATGTCTGTTCTCTAACCTACTCTGGCCCTAATACAACACTAGGAATGTCTGTTCTCTAACCTACTCTGGCCCTAATACAACACTAGGAATGTCTGTTCTCTAACCTACTCTGGCCCTAATACAACACTAGGAATGTCTGTTCTCTAACCTACTCTGGCCCTAATACAACACTAGGAATGTCTGTTCTCTAACCTACTCTGGCCCTAATACAACACTAGGAATGTCTGTTCTCTAACCTACTCTGGCCCTAATACAACACTAGGAATGTCTGTTCTCTAACCTACTCTGGCCCTAATACAACACTAGGAATGTCTGTTCTCTAACCTACTCTGGCCCTAATACAACACTAGGAATGTCTGTTCTCTAACCTACTCTGGCCCTAATACAACACTAGGAATGTCTGTTCTCTAACCTACTCTGGCCCTAATACAACACTAGGAATGTCTGTTCTCTAACCTACTCTGGCCCTAATACAACACTAGGAATGTCTGTTCTCTAACCTACTCTGGCCCTAATACAACACTAGGAATGTCTGTTCTCTAACCTACTCTGGCCCTAATACAACACTAGGAATGTCTGTTCTCTAACCTACTCTGGCCCTAATACAACACTAGGAATGTCTGTTCTCTAACCTACTCTGGCCCTAATACAACACTAGGAATGTCTGTTCTCTAACCTACTCTGGCCCTAATACAACACTAGGAATGTCTGTTCTCTAACCTACTCTGGCCCTAATACAACACTAGGAATGTCTGTTCTCTAACCTACTCTGGCCCTAATACAACACTAGGAATGTCTGTTCTCTAACCTACTCTGGCCCTAATACAACACTAGGAATGTCTGTTCTCTAACCTACTCTGGCCCTAATACAACACTAGGAATGTCTGTTCTCTAACCTACTCTGGCCCTAATACAACACTAGGAATGTCTGTTCTCTAACCTACTCTGGCCCTAATACAACACTAGGAATGTCTGTTCTCTAACCTACTCTGGCCCTAATACAACACTAGGAATGTCTGTTCTCTAACCTACTCTGGCCCTAATACAACACTAGGAATGTCTGTTCTCTAACCTACTCTGGCCCTAATACAACACTAGGAATGTCTGTTCTCTAACCTACTCTGGCCCTAATACAACACTAGGAATGTCTGTTCTCTAACCTACTCTGGCCCTAATACATCACTAGGAATGTCTGTTCTCTAACCTACTCTGGCCCTAATACAACACTAGGAATGTCTGTTCTCTAACCTACTCTGGCCCTAGTACTACTCTAGGAATGTCTGTTCTCCAACCTACTGATATGGGTCGAGGGGTGATACGGAGTGGGACATGGTAATATTGATAACATCTAAATGATTTTTGGCATGTCCTTCATAGCTTCTCTTCATTCGGAAACCTAGAACTTCTCTGTTAGCGATGAGGTTGCGATGTACTGACCAACGAACATTAAGACACAACACGACATGTCTTCGTAGTCTGATGTTAGAGTCTATACCGGGGTAGTTGTTTTCATTACACATGTTAGTATCGTCATCCATCCAACCTAACAAACAAAATGTGTTGCTGATAACATAAAAGTACGCTTTGAGATAAAATCCACGTTTTTATTTAAAACTGCAAACAGTTTTCCATTCGACCTGTCTGATTTATTCACATTCAAAACAGAAGATAGAATAGTAATCACTCTCGTTTACTATTGGCTGCTGTTCTACTGGTGGGTATCATTTCTATGTAATCAACGATCATCGCCGCGTCCTCTCCCCGCCAGGTGTCGCCCCAATCGGCCCGGTGTTCCCAAAAGTCTCTCTTTGGGTGACTTGAGTGGCCCCATGGCCTAGGAGTGTCGTAGTCCCCGTCCTCAAAGAAATCGCCTCCCACGGCCACACTGAGGATAAGTCGGTACTGTCGAGGATTCAACGATACAAGGAAAGTTCAATAAATATAATTCTACAACCATTGAACTTATGAAATTGTATTTTAATGTATTCCTTATCTTGAATTGTCTCCTGTTTTCCTGTTCAAGCTTTCTCAGACTCACCCAATGTATGAACGATATGACGTCATAACTTAATACAAACTGGAGAAATGTGACGTCATTATCAGCTTAATTCGCAATTTCACATTTTTGAAAAGATATGGTTAAAATTGTAAATAATAATAGAAAAGAAATAGAGAAAACGTACGGGCTGATCAAACGGGGCATTCCTGCCTCCTGCCGTCCAGATGTCTTGACCCTGGAAACCTCCAAAGTTCCAGAAACCTGTGGTAGGCGTATTCACGCGTAGTATCTCAACATTGTCCACCAATGTACTGCAAACATTTTTATTTACAATATTCAGCATTTAAAAGTCACAATGACGTTTGACGATGTGAATTTTTTTTCTTTTTAAATTTTGCGCAGGAAGAACACAATATGTCCGCGCACAAAGGCATAATTATATCATAATTTCAACACGTAAAAAGAAACAAAATTCATCATGGCGTCACCACATTAGGATGGAATACCTACTAAGAACCTTTCGCTATTGAATAGCGGTGACAGCCAGACTATGTTCTTTAATGTTAAATATGATCTATTTAAGTAAATCTTTTTCGTCTGTAATATCTAAATTGGCCTGAAAAAGTTCAGACATACATATTTTTTAAGAGGCAATTAAACTTTTATATAAATCCAACTATTAACTTTTGTATTTGAATTTCAAATACCGCAGTGACGAACAAATACAGACACCCTGACGACGCGTACATGATGTGGCCAGGTGTCCATTCCATGGAGTAGGTGTGCCAGCCATGCCAGTCCCCGACCGACTTCCTCCTGGGGACAAAAGTTCAAACTGACGAATAAGTCAACTATAACGCTAAACACTGGCTATTACTGATGTTGTGTAACCAGATATGAACATTCCATGTCTAACACGAGTTAGGTCGGTAACAAACGGGTCAACAATAAAACAGCAATGATCCCAATAAAATCGTTTGAATATTGTACAGCTGTCGACTATTGGAATGACATTATATATGTATTATTATTTCCTTTATTTCCTCCAAAAACGAAGAGTTACAGAAATAACGAACAAAACACTATTGAAAAGAGAAGAAAATGCATTCACAATCATGGTCACACCCTGACATAGTGACTCACACATGCACATGGACAGACACACACATAAGAGAATAATAATAGTACACGCATCATACCATAAAGTACTATAAACACAACACAATGATATAATAGGTACTATTACAGTCATTATACGGTGATAATTATGATGATAGACAGTATAACACTAATCATATATTACATCACACATTGATATAATAGACATATTTACACTCCTCAGACTACATTATCATATAATAGTATAGACAGTAATCCACTTCTCGTACTAAGCAATCATACAACATTGTAATAAACAGTATTACAAGCATCACACTATAAATTATACAGCATTATTATAGACAGTATTACTGTTACATAAGTCTTACAATACAATCATACATTGAGTAGAACCCGTTGCACGAAGTCATACAACATAGTCATACAGTGGTGTGAAATACACAACATACAATATAATAATTAACTTGAAGAAACAGCGCAACCATACAATGATTTCAGTTGTAGTAATACATCTCACAAGATTAATTCATACAATACAAACAATATTATGAATGGTAGTAAGTTGCACTAATCAACAGGAAAGACGTAGGAAATGCTTGCCTACTAATATGAATACAAAAATATATGTATTTCATGTATTCATCTTGCTGAAGCGTGAGGTACACACAAGTAAATTAGTGATCATATTACTCAGTATACAACATTCAAATATCTAAGGATAAATTACATAATGCCACTGTATTGAAGAATTTTAGTAATAATAACAATGGATTTTATTCTAAAGTCCTCCAGTTCATATGGAGATAAGTCATAATTGAAAATACCACCAAGAAGAACATGAAGTAGATGGTAATTAGACATTACATTAAGATTAAACACAAAATCTATATCTTTTACAGTACTGAGTACACACCAGAGCTGGTCACGTAATAGCTCTGTGTGTGAGCATTCGAGTACACTATGCATAATAGTATCTTTGTACATAGATCCACAGTAATGACACAAATATATATTTTCATTATCGCGCATTTCAACACAAAGTTTAACAATTTTCTTAAAACATGGACTGTATTGTGGAAAGCGTAAAGCAAGTTTCCATATAGCATACGGTTGTATCTTATTATGTAAAAGAGTGAAGCGAGAGAAGTCCCTATCAGCGTTCATTCTTTCACATAA